CGGGTTGAGGCAACATGTAAGATACCACTTGTCAGATGCCCAATTTCTGGAGCTTGGAAAGGTATATCGGACTCGTAGAAGAGAGGATTGAGGCAAATGTTCAGCCAGATCAGTGTAGCCATACTTATCAAATCTGACACCGTTAAACCTGGCAATATAGATGACACAATGTGAACATCTGATGGCACAGACATGTGTTCCTCGACCTTTCTACACCAACGGCCTATCAAAACCAGGGAAATTCTTCCGCGGCCCAACAAAACCATTGAAATTGTTCCGTAGTCCACCAAAACCATGGAAATTGCTCCGCCACCCATCAAAACCTGAGTATATGTTCCGCGGCCCACCAAAACCAGAGAAATTGTTCCGCGGCCCACCAAAACCAGGGAAATTTTTCCACGGCCCACCAAACCAGGGAAATTGTTTCGCTACCCACCTAAAAGCAAATAAAACCCTGAAACAAAACTGACGCGTATGTCGCTACCCTCGCTTTGCGAGTATTATGTAAAAGCTACATGAGTTATTGCCCTTATTCCTAGCCTAGCCTGGACAACAGGCTACGTAACTGTCGGGAGCTTTAACGCAACTGTTTTATGTGGTTGAACGGGCTTTGAACCTGTCTGGCTCTCCACTCTGAGGTCTTAAATCCTACTGACTACAATAGCTACCAAGGAAAACTACATACCATATTCTGCTACATAATTAAGCAAACATATCTGGCTTCCAACCTCGACTTTTCCTACCTGTCGAAGAACACAGGTATAGACGATATCCACATTCAAAAGCCAGATTTTATTACAACTAGTGACCTGTTTTTACCATTAGACCAGGTAGGACAATGCTTATAACCAGTTTCGTCCTTTTTAGGACGAAATTTTTTGTCATTTGAAGCCCTACTCTGGTTTTTGCCAGGGGCCGCAATATAGGCAGGCCATACATATGGCCAAATTTCTGAACGCGGTTTCTGGGACCTCTCCACGGCGATCCTCATCCGCATGGTGGCACTTTGTGTCATGGAGTGTTTATCGCTTGTGTGATGTCCTGGTGGGGTAGAAAGTCAGTCAGTCAGTCAGGACAATGCTGTCATGACAGTGCTTATTTAAGATCGCATGGCTAGTGCAGTCGCCACCAACCGTACAGGTTGAGATTTTTATTTATATTCATAGGAGAAAGAAAGCTCTCCATTTTTTATTAATGATCGAACCCAGGTCTCCAGTATAAAAACCCAGCGCACTAGACACTAATTATAATAAGGTAAAATGTTAAAATTACCTCTCCGAGATCCCTGAACTATACAAACAGGGCGCAAGCTAGACCAAGAATACGATGAAAAGATAACATCATAAAAACCCTGCGAAAGCACAGTGTCACTGTGATCGCGGCGACTCGAAGAGCAAGTAGCAGAACCTTAGATCTCCATTGACACCCGAAATGGTAAAAGAAGACGTGAATAAAAAGAAGAAATTTGCCGCTGCTTCCTAAATCGTCAGTAGTCACATAAATGTATGTTGCATTGTGAAGCTGAGTTCGCAACACTAGGACACAAATTCCGACCTACTGAGGTCAAGAAATTGTAGCAACGCAACGCATGAAGTCGAGGTAGGGGCCGACCGCAATGACCCTAGAAATTATCCAAGTTTTTCTGAAGAATACATCGAGGGTCAAAATGGGTGGAGAAGGCGGGTGAGGTAGAGGAGGAGGAGGCGGAAAGGATAACTGTACATACCTGGAAGTTTAACGTGTATCCATGCACAAATTTTTAAAGTTGCACACATCCACAGATTTGTAATGTTGTACACATACAGAGACTGTTTAAATTGTACAAATACATACTTTTAAAGTTGTACACATACACAGACTTGTAAAGTTGTACCCATACACAGACTTTTAAAGGTGTACCCATTCATAGACTTTTAAAATTGTACCCATAAGTTGTATCCATTCATAGACTTTTAAAGTTGTACCCATTTATAGACTGTAAAATGTATACTCATACACAGACTTTTAAAGGTGTACCCATTCATAGACTTTTAAAATTGTACCCATAAGTTGTATCCATTCATAGACTTTTAAAGTTGTACACATTCATAGACTGTAAAAAGTTAACTCATACACACACTTTTAAAGCTGCACCTACTCATATACATTTAAAGTTATACCCATTTGTAAAGTACCCATAAAAAGAAAAGTAACGTTATATACATTAACATAAGTGTAAAGTTGTAGACATACCTAAAAGCGCAATGTTGACTGGGTCTTTCAAACCTTGTTTGACGAAACAGACGATATTGATGATGTTTGACCCGGTGCCAAAAATATCAATAATTTGAACAATGATGACGAAGTTGATAATTTGAAAAATCATTCTGACGTTGTCAGAAAGCAGATCGCACTCGTCTCCCTCAAACTGCATAAAATTGTCTTCGCACTGACTCGTCATGTTCCGCTCCATGTGCGGAGGATTGATCGAGTTTTCTGGTAAGGGCTGATGTGTGGCCATTTCTGGTTAAACACAAGAAAATTAGATTCATATAGCTTCGTTGTATGAGACTAAAAAGTAACTCATAAAAACAGTCAAGTTTATCACAAGAACCTGTCTGTCGGTGTAAATCAGCAAGCGAACACAAGAAGAATATAGCTTCGTGATTAGTAGTAGTAGGCTTTTACCTAACCAGGACATCACACAAGTGATAAACACACGATGACACAAAATGCCACCATGTGGATGAAGATCACTCTTGGAGAGGTCCCAGAAACCGCGTTAAGCCATTAGCCTATATTGCGGCCCCTGGCAACAGCCAGAGTAGGGCTTCAAATAACGAAAAATTGCATCTCATAAGGATGTGATGCAAATACGCTCCTTGATTTTTGTGGAATCAAGGAATACAGTAATTAATTAGACAAGCATCAGTTCCACCATCAGTGAATTACAATATGATACAAGGTCTGACAATTAAGTAATGAGACTAATTCCATTAAAATTAAAATAATCAACAGTTGAAGATGTAACCTGTATTTTATTCAAAGTAAGCCTATTGTGCATTGATACAGCAAGTGGCACGATCTAACAAACACTGGAACGACCACTGTAGTTCTTCTACAGTTATGGCCCTTAAAGTCGATGTTACGGCCCTTTGGATGTCATCAATATTGTCAAAGAAGCGTCCTTTCAATGGCAGCTTTAATTTTGGGAATAGAAAGCAGTCAAAGGGAGACAAATCTGGGCAATAGGGTGGATGGTTGAGAACACGCATCTGTTTTAAGTAAATAATTCCTGTACAACTACTGCTTTTTGATCTGGTGCATTGTCATTAAGAAGGAAAAAAAATTGCCAGGTGTTGAATACAAACTGACAAGCAACTTTTTTTTTTTTTTTTTTGAAACTAAATCTTTGACTAAAGTTTTACGAATAGTCTCTGTATTAACACCAAATTCATCTACCATCATCCTCACAGTCGAACAACGATCATTTTGTATCCGTTCTCCGAATTTTTGCAACGAGTTCCTCATTATGAACAGAAATTGGTCGTCTAGTTCTAGTTGCTTTAGTAATCATTTCCACACCACTTTTAAATCGTGAATACCAGCTGAAAATCTGTGCAGGAGATTAAAAAATTACCCCCAAAAACTTGTCGCATGAATTCAACTGCTGCAATGGTGCTTTTTCTGAGTTTTAAACAGAATTTAATGTTAGCTTTTTTGCTCCATGCTGATTTCGTAACAATGCACAACTAACTAGGTCCAAAAAATGGCGTCTTGTGTGTCGTCTGTTTGTCAGGCGGCGATAAAAAGTTGTCAGATCATAGACGCAAGTTGCCTCTTTGGATTCCATGCTTTCATTCATAGAGGGTATTTTAGTCTTAGCCTGAATAAAATCACTCATTACTTTATTGTCGGACCTTGTATTATGGCCGTAGTTATGAACAGACTAGTCTTTTGTGGCAATACGTAGTGACCACGAAATAAATACTCAGTCATAGTTGAATGCTAAGCAAAAACTGAGAAGCAGCACTCAAGACATTATCATACGCGTTCTGTCCTTATCTTCAGCAGCAAGTGCAGAGTTCCAATTCCGATGGCACTATTACCAGTATGACTGTATATCCGTCTCGCCCCTCCTATGAGTGTTGATCATCTCCCGGTCGCCCCTCGCAGCACCATTCTCTCCAGTTTGTGATAATCTATGTATGCATAGCATTGTGTACTCGCTGCCAAAGGGATAAGTCAAGAAACAGACAATTTTCTCCCTCGGGCTCACTGGGCATATAGGGCTAGACCTACATTTTATAGACCATTCGGTGGGTAATGTGTTCCACATTACGTCAACCACCTTTACTTCCCAGGACTTTACTAGCATCCACATTTTGCTGGAATGACCTGGGAGCCATCCAGCCTAATGCGAATTTGAGCCTACAACCCTCGGGTCCGAGGCGAGAGCTTAGCCGCTATACCACTTTAGCTAACTATCAAATGTCAGTAAAGTATCATATAATATAAAAACATTTGGGCCCTCTCCACAATGGCGACTGGTCGTATTAGTGTGAATAAAATGCAGCGTTTGGGAACAGTTCCTTGTAAAGCCCCAAATATTCTGCCACGGTGAGACGCTCATAACATTTGAAAGCCAGATGTGTCTCTTTTTTCCCAAACCCTGACCATAATGGAACTTACTCTTTTTATGAAACCTGCATTTTATATATAATGAAGAGCATCTTGTGCAATATATCCTTGTCATTGAAAGTTTGAAAAATAATTCTTGCTTGATATATACATCCAGATTTAACATATGGCTGTGAATCCTAGACAATCGGTAGGCAGGCCAAACAATTTCTTGAGGCCTCAGAGATGTGGTTTCACAAAAGAATGCTTAGAATACCTTGTACAGCCAAAAAGAGCAACCAAGAAGTCTTGAAAGAGGCGGGAGCCCGAAGACAACTTATCCCAGACATCAGAAGGGGACAGTCCTCATTGCTCGGCCATATTATGAGAAGAGGGAAAATAGAACATGATGTGATCACTGGACAGATCTGTGGAAGGAGGGATAGAGGCATGGCATGGGCGGTGTGTCGGCACACGAACTAATACATGCTGCAGGAGATCGCAAATTGTGGTGAGGCATGATCGCCCACCCCAGTCGGCAAGGCATCTGATGATGATGAAAATGAAAGTGTGCCTATCAGTCTATCAATCTAAATATATATATGCATACCTGTTTGTATGAAACCCTGTATGTTAGTATCAAAGCATATCAGACTACATGATTATTAATTTTGTCATTGCATGTATCTGATTCTCCTGCAGACTTAATTGTTTCTTTTCGATGTAAATAAATGTCAATCAGTATGTGTTTGTCAGTAATGTAATATGTCTTTCTCTATGTCTTTTGTCTGTCTGTCCGTAGTGACAGTCACCGTACTACCACACTTAGTTACCTTGCGTCGCCACACACACAAACAATGTTATCAATGACGCTGGCGAGAAAACATAACTTTCCCTATATGTGATTAACTTTAGTTATACAATAATAAACTCAACGCACACAGGCTGCCTGTGATATAGGGGGGAAAAAGAAACATTTTCGCAGTCATTAAAGAAAACGGTAGCTTGTGGGCGGGGAGTGGGCCGGGGGTTTATAGTCAAAACCGAAATGAAAGCGAAATAGAATAATTGAAGTAAAAATAATTATCACATATCTCTTTTCTGGAACGCCACAAAAGCCAACATATTGACAGAGAAGGTATCTCATCTTAATCTGACTATTGACTTTTTGACTCATTGAACGGATAACAAAAGTATTTACAAATGTACCTAGAAATAATTAGCTAGCAAACTGGAGTGAAACGTATGAATGACAAATAATACGTAGTTTTAGCCTGTCTTTAATTATAGCCAATAATATAATTTATTTTTCATGGGAAAGAAGCCAATTAATAATTGATATTAGTGGCATATACAGTATGGGATACACTGTGACATGATTATCGATTATAAAGTTCAGTAAAGGACCCTTTTCCACGCATGTAGGCGTATAGGGCATATAGGGCTAGACTTATATTTTTATAGACCATCGGCACAAGTTAGGTGATGTGGTCAGCATCATGCCGGCCGCCTTTACTTTCCGGGACTGCATCCGGGACCCATTCAAGGCGAACCAACGACCTTCCGATTCTAACGCGGTGAACAGATGGTGAATTTTACGCTGGTCTCCCCATTAGCACATCACCGGTTGTATGTCAACTCCATTGATAAGTTGGTTGGACTACTGTGGTCGAGGTTATAGGTGTCGCAGTCTGTTATTGTCTGGTATTTACGTTTTTATATTCGAGAAAGAGACGGCCTGTGACATAGGTACTGTCACTCTCTAGGGAGTTGTTTGTTGGACCCAGTATCTAAATGTGTCAGAAGTGTTAAAAGCATTAGCATGGTGAAATATACAACATGCGGTATGAGCGCCAGTGCGGAATATCCCCATGACCTTGTGACAGTCGGATTGATCGAGGCCGACCTATCAGTAGTAAGCTGGTCAGTAGGTCATCCAATCAAAAGCGAGCTAGTGTGTAGCGTTGTGCTAATGGGGAGACGAGCGTACAATTTACCGAACAGGCAACATCAGCGCTGATTTAATTAAATCAAGACAAGGTAACACCCCTCCGACATAGAAGAGTCTGAGAAAGTATGAGCGAAAGGTCAGCCAGTGTGTAGCTGGACTAGGAAACTTAAACTGTGCCTTCTTTCTTTGTATTTCATTCACTGATAAAATTGCTTTCCAGATAAGCACATTGATATAGTCAAAAAAGGAAAAAAGTAAAAATAAAAATAAAGGTCCCTTCTCCACGCCTTTAGGCGTATAGGGCATACAGGGCTAGACCTATATTTGTATAGACCAATCGGCACAATATGGGTGTTGTGGTCAGCATCACTTCGGCCGCCTTTACTTCCCGGGACTGCACCCGGCACCCACTCAAAGCTGGGTCGACCTGGGAGTCAAGGTAATTTTTGAAAAAAAGGTCTGGCTCTGCCAGATAACGAACCCATGACCTTCCGATCCGCACGCGAGCGTATAGCACCTACACCACGAAGACTCCCAATTGACATGGTACCCTAATTTTGCCTCTAGCCTTATATCTAGCTAATTTGTTGTTGGTGTCTTCAGTATATTTGTCGGTTCAGAATTTATTTATAGTCTGGCCTTTGATGCTTTTTTTAAAAATCATCTGTCTTCTTTGCATGACATTGCTGTTTTTACTTAGGTGAACAATATTATCAGCTAATCTTATATCATCCAGCCGTGTTTTCTCTCCACTCATTTAATGCCAATGTTTCCAACACAACATTCAATGGTTACGCCAAATAACATAGCAGATAAAATACTTCCCTGTTTGACCCCACTTTCAGATTCAAATCAATCACTTAAATCATCATCTGTTAGCACTGCATGCTCAACCTTCATACACTAGCATAGCGATATTGATCATTTCCATTGGTATATCGTGGCATTCC